TTACTGTGTGTATCAAGCAAACTTAGGGAGATAAGATTAGAGAGATAAGAGCGAAACTGAAAGGTGGTGGCGATATGTCAATACCCGATACAAAAAAGTTACAGCAAAATTCTGTTTTGGGCCTATCGTGTTGAACAGAGCTTATGCTGGAAAAAGAAGCAAGAAGTTCGTGCAGAACCGTAACAAGATGGAAGGATTCATGATTTTCTTCATTAACAAAGCGCTGAACATAGAGTAGTATGATCAAATTACTTAGCTTAGCTATGAAAGTAGTCATTTTCGGCAGAGATGTAACCATTGCTGTGGTGAAGATTAACCCGAAAAAATTACGGGCCCTCCTTCTAGCGCCAAACTGTTGTTATACGAAATTGTAACAACATGGGGTGTTCAGAGAATTGTGTATCTCGACGAACTTTTGTGTATTTTTTTGTGAATTAAATGAAGAAGATAGAAATTGAATGATAAGAGGAAAGAAGACTTCATCTGTAATGCGTCGCCTTAGGAAGGAGAAAAAGATAAGAGAAAAGCCCCCTTAGTCTTACCTCATCTTGCCCATCATAGGGGGGTATTTATATTCATTTTTATTGACCCCGATATTATTACAAGTGGTATTATTTTTGGGCCTTAACAATAAGATAAAATATAATAATTGATTTAATGTATATCCACATGATTTAATATATATATATCCACGTGGACTGTCTTAATAGGCGAGACCAAAATTAGGTAACAACATTTGCACAACTGGAAGGGCATCACAAAGTACTCGCAGTGCCCTAGGTGAGTTCGGAAAGCTATCTTCGGGATATCCTATTCAGCCACCCAAATTTGGTAGTAATCGGCCCGTAAGTCTAGCTTCGAAAAATACCATCTTTCCATCCAGCTCGTCGAGCATGTCATCTATGCTCGGCATAGGGAATCGATCATTTATGGTCGCCGCATTCAAGGCTCGATAATCAGTGAAGAACCACAAAGACCCGTCAATGGACTCGTGTTGCGTCGAATAAACCCCGACTCGAGCATCTCGTCAGTCTACTTCTCGATCTCTGCTTTCTGGAAATGAGCGTAGCGGTACGAGTGTACGTGCACTGCCCAGTTTTTGTCGACCAAGGGTATACGATCTTCATAAGACCGCCTCGGCGGTAGACCCTTTGGTTCGACCAGTACCTTGTTGAACTGGCTAGCTCCCGTACTTCGTGCTGATGCGGTGCTGAACCCTCAGACTTATCCGACCCATTTTCTACCACGACCGCAGATACTTGGTTGTCTCTCCTCCATAGCCTCTCAATGTTTTTTAGCCTCGTCTCTTTGATATTATCGTCACCATCTACCTTTAGTACGACCAGACGGTCTCCTGTGGTGAACTCCATGATACCCTCTCGATAGTCAGTGTTAAATATCCCAAGGCCCTCCATCCATTGCACCCCGAGGACTACGTCTAGTCCTACTCCTACCAAAGGAAAGGCGTGCAGATCGGCACTCACGGTCACGCCCTCCAGCTTGATCGGTATTGCTCGAAAGTATTCCAAGCACCTCAAACATTTACTATTGGCTACCCAAACATTGAATGGATCAACCTTAGCAGTAGGTAGCCTCAACTTCCGGGACAATGAGGTGTTCATAAAATTGCGCGACGACACATTGTCTACTAGTACGACGATGCGTCAATCTCGGACCCGCGCTGGCAACATCAGGATTCTAGGTCCCTTCGTGTCTGCCATGGCGTGCATTGAAATTCCTAGGCCAGCCTCGTTAATCTCGTCTTAATAGACTCGTCCTCTTTAGGTTTTTCGTCGTCGGTCTCGACTAGTTCGATCATAAGTGCAGCTTGCACCGGTGCCCTGGCGTAAATTTTTCGTCATAGTTGGAGCAGAGCCCCTTTTCACGTCGACATTTTATCTCCTCATAGGTAAGTTTCTACTCTTAGAGGTGAGGGTTGAGGGTTGCCCGCTGAGACCTCATTTGCACCTCGATTGGCAGGGGGTGAATAGATCGACGACACGCGGGTCTTCACGCTTGATTCTTCGAACGATGTTCAGATGGTCCTCTCTGTCATACGTCGATCTCCTTTGAAAGCCGCATTGACCTCGCCTTCTCCAATTGGACCTCAGCAGCGAGGTCGCACTTCAGGCCTCCAATAAATACCCCGACGAGTGCACCCTCATGCCAGTCGCGTATGCGGCTAGCTAAACGCTCAAACTCCTTATCGTAGTCACGAAGACTACCCGTCTGTCTTATACTAGACAGAGACACATCGTAGTCATAGTATTAATTCCCTCTTTAGGTAGTATGCAACATATTTCACTCTATCTGCCCCTTGGGATGTCGTTGAGGTCGAAATACTGTGTAGCCCGGCTCAACCAAGCGTCGGGATCGGTCCCATCGGAGGTGGACAAGATCAATAGAGTTTATCGACCCGAGGTCTCTCTCGGTGGTTTGTTGCCTTATCGGTCTCTTCTTCTTCATATTCAAAATGCGTTGATCCCCTCGTGGATGATCGTGATCAACCTCCTCTCCAAGATCGACGTTCTTTCCTAATCAGTTTGTTGTTCATCGCGAGAAACATTTGTTCAAGCCGAGCCATGGGTTGATTGTGATGGCGTTGTCCTTCATCGATGCGAAACTTGAGGAGAGCCTGACCCTTACTCAAGCCTCCGATCCTGACATCGAGGTTTCCGAACTTCTCGTCGATGGTGTCGAAACTCTCGCGGTTAGTCATGTTGACTAGAAAAAATTTATTTATAGGATTTTTTAGTAGGAATAAAAACGAGAAAACGAGAGTGATACATGATAGGTACTCTCAATGAAAGCACCAATGATAAATATCGTGTATCTGCGTGTTTCTGCCAACTGACGCGCTTAGGCCTTCCTTCATTGGCTATAAGGTGTGCAAAACAACGCACAATAGGTCTTCATTTTGTACAAGTATGTGCTAGAACTCGAGAGAATAATTACACACAAGGATTTGATCAAGTGATCGGGTTTTTTATTAATAATGCGATGCCTCAAACTGAAACCAAAGTACAATATATAAAGGAAAGCAACAGCTAAATACAGCTAAGGAAAGTGGCAAAATCTCAGGAGAAAAATATCAACTCCTAGGTCCCGGGTTTGCGCCTTGGATCTGTACTTAGAGCCCCAAGATCCCAAGTCTTCAGCCCGTGCTTTTGTCCTTAGAATCGTGCTCCAAATCTCTGCGTCGATCGCGCTTATCGCTTTGTTGTCGCACCATTTCCGGAATGTGACCGCTACAACCTTCATTGGTCGTGTCACTTGGCAAGTTGATTCATGTGCTCGTTGTTCAACCTGTTTGCCTATATTAATTGTGAATATTTGTTTTGATTATAGTTTTCATGAAAGTTTGATTTGTACTTATTCAGCTTCTTGTATTCCTTTATATGATAATAGAATAACACAAAAAAAAAATGTGTCAATTCAACAACACCAAACAAGAACGTGTTCTTTTACGTTCGCATGAGTTTTTCTTTTGTGGTTTGGCTGTGATCTCGCCGACAACTAGATGTTGTCTCTCCGACGAGTTTCTTACAATTAAAACAACTTGTCTAGTCGTAAAAGTAAGATGATTAATATAATAAACTATTAATTTTTAAAGTTAATAAGTCAAAATATGTTAATGAATGAATTACATTTTTTTTTTTGTTTAAAAATATATAACAAATACTATTTTTATTTACGTTTTCAGTTTCAATAAATAAAAACTTTAAGTGGGACATTAAAAAAAAAATGAAATTATGTATATCAAATAGCTGCCTTAACTATTCTCCCAAAAAATGCAGTTGATGCATGATTGAATAGAAATGACAAAAAAATAAATAAAATAAAATAAAAATAAAAATAACAACTATAATTACGTTTCGTTATGTATTTTAGATTTATTATTGATAAACAAAAGTGAAACAAAATAAAAAATGATTGGCAAACTTCAATTGAGAAGAAAGCAAAACATTACCAGCAGAATGCAGAAATGAATCAAAACTTAGTCGCAGAATTGATCAATTCCATTTCATATACAAAGAGCAACAATTTCTTTGTGACTTAAAATGAATACTAAAAAACAAAATTAAACCAAATTTACACACCAAAAAAAAACCTCAGAAAACTCGGAAAAAAGTTCATTGTCCGTCAAATGACTCAAATCAATCTATCTGCCCCTGCCCAAAACCGTACGGGTAAACGCCGTCCTCGCTCCCAAACCCGCCGCCCCACTGCCCCCTGCCCGCCAGATCCGCCGCATCCCCGACGGCGGCTCCCCCGCCGGCCGCCACGCGCGCGTTCATGAGATCGTCTGCCCTCGCCGCGGCCTTCCTCGTCAGCTCCTCCAGCGCCGCCGCGTACTGCTCCATATCCTCCACCCCCATCCCGTCCACCGCCGCGTCCCACCAGAACTCGCCGCCCCCCGCTGCCGCCTCAGCCCCGATCGCCTCCTGCCGCCGCCTCTCAGCCTCGAGCTCCGCGCACAGGCCCGCGTACCGCGCCTCCATTTCGCGCGGCGGGCGGGACTCTCCGGCGTCGGCGGCGCCGCCGCCGGAGAGGAATCGGTCGATGACGGAGTCGGCTGCGGGGTGGCCGAATGTGAAGACGCGCTTCCCCTCGGAGTGGACGACGACGGCGACCTCGGCGCCGGTGAGGACGCAGAGCTCGCTCGCCTTGCGGAAGATTCCCGGCCGCCGCTTGGAGAAGGTGACCTGGCGGCGGTTCTTGTCCTCGATTTTCGCGATCGCGATCTTCTGCCGCCCTTGGCTCGTCCGCTTGCCGCCGGATTTTGGGATCTCCATTTTTTCGGACAAACAAATTAAAAGCCCTAAAATCAAGTACGGAGTAGAGAAATGGTGAGTGTAGAAGAAGAATGCGAATTGATTTGGCAGTAATGAATTAAGGAGTGAATAATGTGAAGTGCTTATATATATATATATAAGGCTTGTTGATTTGTGAGATTCTCTGAAAATCATTACAACGGTTAAATTTCGTGTTGTTTATGGTAAGTTTGTGTGTATGCAATCAATGGGAGATATGTTCGATACGCTGATTGCCCTTTCCTTTTTCTGTTTTTCCTTGTCCGAAAAGCAAAACATTTTGAAATATATTACCAATAAAAGGAGAGGAAGAAGGTTGCGGCCGAGTTATAAGTTATATAACAATGACACAATCATGACCGCTGCTGCTAAAATCGAACTTAAACGGGACAACCTTTAAATCTTAATTGGGGTGTGATAAGTGCTGCTAAATTAAACGAGTATGACTCAGTTCGGCTCGTCTACTAAGTGAGCTGAGCTCGAACTCATATAAGTCTCGTTTGGTTAACGAGCCAAACTAAGTTCAGTTCGATAAGACTCGGAAAAGAGAAGTTTTATATAATTTTCAATATTTCGACTTGTTAAATCTCAAGATCGTCTCGTTAAGGCTCGAATTCGGCTTGCTATTAGTGTTTAACGAGTCCAACTCGGTTTCAGGCTCGTTTACTTAGCGAGTTGAGCTCGGCTCGAGCTCGAACTCGAGCACCCTAAGCTCGAGATCGACTCGACTCGTTTAAAAGCCTAGCCATTACTCATTATGACTCAACCGGGCGAAACGAAGATTAGCAAGTGTTGAGGGAATGTTCGTTTTGGTCGGAATTGATTGGTCAAAGTGAGTTATTTTGAATAAAATTAGTGAGTGAAAATTTTGAGTTCTTAACTAAATCATATTTAAAATGTAATTAAAGTTGATGTAATGTTAAAGTAGAAAAAACGTTATTAGAAGTGATAGATAGTTAAAATTATGTAAGTTGATGAATAATAAATTAAAGTTGATAAGATGTGTAGGACTAATTGATTGATAATATTTAATTATATTGATAAAAAAGAAGAGTTAAGTTGAGTTGAATTTTGATTGATATAAAATAACTCAATCGGTCAAAACTTATCCACTTGATCAAGACGGTCAATCGGCTCTTGCAATACGTTATGACAATATGAAGTTTGAAAGAAGGAGGTAGCGTCCTGCTATTGTTCTATAAGAAGATGTAAATGTGAGTGCACCAAACTTGAGGCCTTAAGAAGCCGAGCCCGAGACGGCCTAGCCAAAACTCTTTAATTTAACAACACTATTCTCATTCTTAACAGAGGCAAGAAAAATACCTGACATACTTCATTAATCAAATCTTGTTTTATCGTTGAAACTTTTATTTCAGCTAGCTTATTAATTAATTTTGCCAAACACGTTTATCATATAAACTAATTTTTTCAGTCATAAATCATAATTATCAAACGTAGCAGTAATTAACCAAACACCAAAACAAAAGCAAAGCTTGATACTAGAAAGTAGAAACCCAGTTTACCTCGTAAGATTCATATCATAAAATAAAAAACTTAAATAGTATCATGTTTAAATTAAGTTAAATTATATTGCATTAGATTATTTTACGTTTTTAACATCCTTAAATCAAATAAAAATCAAATTTTAAATAAGTGAAAATATAATTTATTCCTAATGGACTGTGGCAACATTTTTGTAATAAATAATATAGTTATTGCATCCACTTTTAACAGTAGTCGATAGATTAAAGCCTTTTTGGTATGCTGGTATCTCAACTAAAAGTTTTTTTTTTTTTTTTTCTTTTATTTTTTGTTTTATTTTTCTACTAAAAGACAGTTGTGAACTCATTTTAAACTCGGCCCCGTAATCGATTCGTGCAGGTTTCCGGGTCACCGGTTCAACCGCCGGGTTACCGGGTCAATTGCTGAACCGGATAATTAATTTTAAAATTTATAAAATTATATATAGAGTATTTTGTAATATATAAATATACATAAACATAACAAAACGAAATGTTTTGTGTGTAAATATGTAGATTAAAGTGGTAATAATATGTATATATTTACAATATAAATATATATACATAGTTTTATTATTTATAAAGAAAAAGAAAATTAAAAAACAAAAAAAAAATAAAAAAAATTAATATAGAGACCGGGTCAACTGGGTTGACCTTGCCGGGTCAATGCCCCGGGTCGACCGGGTCAAGGCCGGGTCGGTCGAGTTTTGACCAGGTCCATTGTTGGCCGGTCCAAATAGCCCACCCGGACCGGTTCCGGTTCTGGGTCGACTGGGTCCTGGGTCGACCCGCCGAGCCGGTCCGGGTCACAAAACACTGCGTGAACTGACCCGTGACCGGCGGCCCATAACTCCTCAAGGGCCGGTTACGGGTCATGTTATACCCATTTTTGACCCGCCGGGTTGTTTACGAACCCACGTTTTGCGACGGATCACAATTATAATTTTTTTTTTTTCTATTTTTATTTAAAACCAACGGTTCAATTAACCGGCCCTCAGATATAGGCGAACTGGGACAGGCCGGGCCGTGAACCAGCTTTGGCCACGTCTACAGTACAGAGATTTGCATGAGAGTTGAACAGTTTTTCTATAAAACCAGATGATTATTTTCCTTATGGAACCAACAACCAATGAGACAGTCCATGTGAGACAGCCCCATGTAAAACTATCCTATCGGTGGTTGTGGTTATATAAAGTAACCAACCATCTGGTCCTTAATAAAATTGGAAAGTTGAGACTAGTGAACAATAAAAAAGTAAACCGTTTTACAACGATTGAGACATCTTTAAATCGGGTTCATTTCAAATCCACATTTTCAAAAGTGAAGTATCAAATTAAAATTTGGTTAGTCGAAGAGCTTTTGTTGCAATTCGATATGATATAGTATATTTTTTTTCCAAATAAAAATATTGCTTTTATTTACTTTTAAACAAAAAAGAGATAAATTTCTCCCAAAATCGCCGCCACTCGCCATCTCCGACCACCGCCATCTTCGACGACCTAACAAGCTTCCGGTGGTTAAGGATTTGCCGTCACGATTGTTCTTCCATCCGCACCTCACAAGATGTCGGTGGTTTAAGGTCTGCCAGCCACCGATCAGCGTCAGCCGCCACATCCACCTTACAAAACTCTCATCGCCAATACCTGCGGCGGACCACCTCTTCACCACTGGAGTTCTCCATCTGTTTCTTACACCTGCGCTGGTAAACTCTTAAAACCCTAATTTAATTTTATGCCTGGTACTTGTAAGATTTTAGTTGTTTTATATTGTCGATAATGAACTAATTGGGTAGAATGTATCTTGCTCGCTCTCGCGCGCGAATGACATATGGTTGTGGCCTTGCAATTGAGATAGATACATTTTTTTGTTTTTCGAATACAGCATAGAGGTTTACTGTATACGAATTAGACAGGTCCAAGCACGACCTGAAGGTTTCATCATATATCAGATCGAGAGACTTATTGTGGATGAGTTAGATAAGTAAGAGGTAAACCCCAATTTTGTTCACAGTTCAGTAGTTCCTCTATAAGCTGTCAATATCATTTACGAACTGAATCATCGGACGTTTAACGTCAGGTGAATTCCCGGCGACTTGGAAGGTAGTAGGAGCAAGAACTCACTCACGGAGGAAGTTGACAAAGATCTGATTCACCGTTGGTATATTTGGTACAATTTTATCAGTGAAGATGATGGCTGGCTGAACTTGTTCTTCAGAAAATACTTTGAGAGATGATTTATATGAAAAAATCCTTTCTTTTGCTTGCTTATTGATGATGCTACGTAAATTCACCTCAGTATATTAGTTA